GGTGATATGTGATACTTACCATTGGGTTTTTTTGGTCTGCCAGTTAGTATTCTCAGACTGTAAATGTAGAAAATCTAAAATATCAAATTGTAGAAATTGGATGTTATAGAAACTATAAAAATGGTTGTTGAAGCTGTTATGTAGTTACCCTGACTAACTGTTTTTGTTCTTACTAAGTCTCCCTCCCACTCTTCATCGTCAAGTTCTGATTCATCCCCTGACAGTGACTCAGAGACAGAAGAAGAGGTAAGATTTCAACACTGGGTCCACCGTGTATAGGAACTAAAATTACATTAAGTATGAAATAGAGGGAATTCATTCCTCAAGCTAACCAACATCTATCACACTGCAGTCGTCCCTCAGTCTTCTAGAGCCACATAGTTCCTGTTTAGAACTTTAATTTGCCTGTCATTTTTGAGAAGGCCTCAATTTTGTTTATATAGCAGGCATAGGGTACCCAGCAAAATTATTAGAGTTTGCTTCTACATATGTCCAAGGGCTATATCGCCCATCAGCATGTGTCTTTTGTGAAGAATTATGTCAAGTTTTAACCAGTTTTATTTTTTGTAATTTTGGCCAGATGTTGTGGAAATTGTTTGAAGAGTTTAGCTATTTTTGCTAATTGGAAAGTTGTGTCCAATATGTTGGACCTGACGTTGGCTTTTTCTACATTCTCCACATTCTAAATACACAACCAATCACAACACACCTTACTGACTCCACTGGCCAATCAGAAGAAGGAACGCTCACAGCGTCGGGAGAAGAAGAGGAAGAAGAAGAAAAAACATCGAAGTGAGCTGGAGATGGGCGACATTTCTGATGATGATGACAAGGTGTCTGAAGTAAGTTCTGTTTTCTGAGTCAAAATGATTTCATAGTACTTTGATGTACTTGGACTTCAAAAAAGGATAAACTTTGGCATAATACCCACAAATGTTTCACACTGTGCATGCACAATAAACTAGCTTATTTCTTTAAAACACTTTCTTTGTTGACTTTCAGTCCTCAAGATCAGACAAGAAGTCCAAGAAGCGGAAGAGAAAGAAGGTGGAGACATCGGAAGGGTCTGAAGATGAGTCGGACACAGACAGAAGTGGCAGAGACAAGGCTGTGGGTTGATCTGGTTTATTGAAATTGTAACAATACAATACACGTGGGACACAGGCAGCTGTTGCTGGTCTGACACATTAGAAACAAATACAGGACAGGTAATACTCATTTCACTTGAGTTGTGAGAAAAGTCCTGTAAAGTGCCTTTCCCAAGGGCACAGGATCCGTGGCCTGTCAGGACTCGAACCCAGGACCTCTTGGTTCTGGTTCTGATTCGAGCACTCTGCTGTTACGCCACACGACCCCACAAGGCTGTGGGTTAAACCTCCATTTCCATTTTGGATGCCTTGGATTATTAAAACATAAAGCGCATCATATTTTGCTCATAGGTGACTGCTTGGTATCCCTTTTCTGTCACAGAAAACTTTGAAATACTATACAGCATGTTTCCTGAGTTTTGTATGTCACTGACAATTTTCTCCCTTCCAGTCAACATCGAGCAGACACAAGAAGAAACGTAAAAAGGACAAGCACAAGAAGAGCAAGAGACGGAAGGAAGACAGAAACAACAGTGATTCAGACTGAGAGCTTTAACACTTGTTCACCAGTGATAATAACAGCATTAAACTAGTACTATTGCATCAGGTATAATGTTATGGCTTGATATTGTTTTTAAGGAAATAGTATAAGTTTGACAACGTGTATACCACAGATAGTACCATTTCTACATACATACAAGTTATGGAGATTCGTAAGCCACAGCAATAATGAAAAGAGAAAATTAGATTTTAGGACTATTACATGTACAGGCAGCTATATTGACAACATTGCATGGAAGATGCAGATGTATTATGTTGGTACAAGTTTTCACATTTTTTTGTGTAATCTTCTGCATCTGAATTGTCATAAATATGTTTTGTCTAGTATTATAACACAGGAAGCCAAACCGGTATTTGTAATATTGTGTACAGGTATTCACACCAGTTTTGCAAGCTTGTATATAGGTGTAACATGGTGCTGTACAATGTCAATATAAAAACATAAGCAATATTAGTGTAAGTTATACCAGGGATATTTAACACATTGTAAGATGAAGTAATGACAGATGCACACTGTTGTTGGGGGTAATAAATTGTAATTGGGGGTAACAAGTTATTGCCATTTCATTTTGTCATGACAGTATTAGGCATGAGACATTTCTAGTGTATGTTATGGTATAATATTTGGACATGTACCATCTTTAGGCAAAGCAATAAATAGTTTGTGTAGTTTGTAAGAAATCTGTTACTAGTACTAAATACTAGTATTAGATTAGCAGTAAATATGTTAAGTGTGTTTAGTGTAGTATACGTGAATATGTAGCCATGTCAACTTTATGTACCGGTACAAGTAGGGAACTTGAAGCAATAAAATTCTTACAGTGAATGTGAATTAAAAAGAGATATAGTCATTACTTGATTTTGCCAGTAATGGCTGAAATGCTAAAATGTCACAATGATGATCTCATAGCAGACTTACATGTACACATGTAGGTGATTACCTAGCACATTTTAATAGCTCCTATGCATATAGTGGCTCTAATAATTCTTCTTTTTTTCTTTCAACCTCTATTATACTTCAAGTTCGGTTGCAAAGTATGGTTGCAAAGATTTTCTTGGAAACTGGCAAAATTTCATACGCACGTAGATGTCATCATTATAATAAAGTCAGTGTGGCCAATGAGGTTTTTTTCTCTGTCTTGGTGGCTGTCTTGGCAAAACGTTATCTGTTTTCCACCGTTTTTATGATGACGTTTGAGAGAAAACCACATGAGGACCTTCCCATCTATGATTTATCACATACTAGCTCTTCTTGGTTGTCTTGTCTCCAGTAGTGCCACTACAGATCACTCAAAGGACCGGCAGGACTAAAGGCACTTTCTTCTTAAGTGAAGTCTTCTGAACACAATCTCTGTGCTATGTGCCATTTTTCCGTATTTGGAACAAGTTAAAATGTATCTTACATTGAATGTAGGGAACAAGTGCAATGGTGAAATCAAAATGGATGCAAACGGATGAAAAGTATGGATGAAAACGGATAAAAAAATTGTCCAAAAATGAAGGAAATGTATTGGAGTAGTCATATAATATTATGTAAATAACTTCTCTCCAAGCAGATTTAGGCTCCGGCTAATTTTTTACATTTTCAGGCATTTTAAGGGGTCTTTGTTTTTGTACTGGTATCTTTTTTTGCCCCTGGGTGGCAAATGGTAACTGCCTGGCAAATGAATACAGTCTGGCCAATTTGATACTGCCTTTGGAGCCACCAAAAGATATGCTTGGAGCCTCTCCTCCATATGTCCTTGTCCCCTGCTTAATATGCCCTTGAAAACGTAACCTTGAATATGTCCATATTGATTATCTTACATAATTAGAATAACCAGGACCTTCTAACTGTAGCTACATGCAAGACGAGCAGGTTAATAGCCAATAGACCTGACTAAAGACAAGTGATGGTAGGTTTTGGGTCACTTATAAACACTAACCTACTTGCGACAGCGGTAATTTGGTTGGCTCCTCCCGAAGGCTTTGAGTAGCAAGAAGTCAATTTCGATGTAATTGTCCGTCTAACCCGACGGGCATTTCTTTGATTTGTCCCATCCCAGAGGTCAATGGATTGATGACCTCACTGTTTCATATATCCTCAATATTCTGACATTTACCTCCGTAAAAAATGGAGGTATTATTCTTGATGTCTGGGTGTGTTTACAGCCAAGTTTGTGATAGCCATGTGTTAACGACCTCACCGTTTCTTGTGTCATCAATATTCTTACATATTTACCTCCGTAAAAAATTGAGGTATTGTTTTTGGTGTGTCCGTGCTGGCCCTAAGGTCATTGGTTGTGATTTTGTGTTTTTGCATTTTCACATAGGTCTGAGATTGCCCAAGGACGCTAATCTCCAAGCTGATCCATTTCGCTGGCCACCTTGGTGAGGGTAGCGACAAAAAAACGGGCCATATATAAAAAAGCAACCGATCTTCCCCCATCAACCTCTGCTTGGAGAGTACAGGGACGCTACTAGTATGCCATGAATGAGATCATATTCGAGAGGGTGTCAAATACAAAACATTGATTCTTTCTTTCCACAATTTGTAAGACATAGAAAATATGCAATACTTTGAAAAGCTTGGAAATATATAAAATGGAGGTATGATATCTCCAAACTCATGTCTAGGTATTTTGCTGGGTTTTAAAATGCATGCAAAAACGTCTGAATTATGTCTGAGCTGTAAGCCATTATCTGGTTAATGGTCCTTTATGCCTTCTGTCATGTTACGACTGCAAGCCCAGTGTGTGAGAGTTCAGCTTTGCAATTTCTATCAGACCATCTAAAAGTCCTGGGGACATAAATTGTATATGATTGTACTGCATTTGCACATAATCCATAATCTCCAAGCAGAATTCTTTTGGTGGCTGCAAGACAGTATAAATTGGCAAGACTGTATCAAATTGGCAAGAAAGTATCAAATTGGCAAGGCAGTATCAAATTGCCATTTACCATCCATTTGGCTGGCATAAAAGGCCTAAAACACGTTGAAAATAAGCCAAAGCCTAACACACAAATACTGAGCCATGAGTAACTCTAAGGTTGATGAGTTTTAATCCTTGACGCTCTATCAAAAGACTTTTGGGCAATCAATTCTTTCTAAAGAAATTTTATACAAACATTATACAACTGTCTTTCAATAATGCCTCTTCTTTTGTCTCAAAATAGTGTAAATTTTGAAATGTTTGCAGTTTTATTTTTGCACTATCCTCTCCAGTGCGAATTCATCCCACCACGAATATCCTTCTATCGCAAAATCAAGTCCGGAAAAAATAAAAGAATATACAGATGTACAGAGTATACTTGCTACGTGTATATGTACATGACACCTAGCACCTGGGGGTTTGCTTATATAAATACGATTTCCTCTACATCATTTCACTCACTCATGTTGGTTGTTACTTCCCTTTCCTAATCCTAGCAAAGTCTTTGAAACACAACTAAATGGGAACAATAGACTCTGGTAAACCAGCTTTACAGTCTCCTAGGGAAACTAAATGATCAGGTGGAAAATGAGAAACTTGTTGACGTCCTATCGCAGTGATCCCCAAGGTCTGCTTTTGTAAATGTGCATCCAACTCGGCTGTTACTGTAAATTCATTCATACCCTGTTCTGTCACATTCAAAAATTGAATCAGTTTGAGCATGAAATCATTTCAGAATTCATAAAACTGATTCAATTTTTGGAGTGTGAACACTCCAAGTCCATTACTAGTAGATTTTCGAATTCTGAAACAATTCCCTTCCAAGCCACTAAATTTGGTCTGAAATGGTCTTATTTTGTGGTAAGTCGAGGGAAAAGGGGATTTTGCTGTTTTAAATTTGCAGTTCAAACAAGTATGATGGAAACACAGAGTCATGAATTCACAGTGAAAAAATCACCCTGAAAACCACTGGAAATAAAAACACTGAAAGTTTCAATATCTAAGGTATACACATCATTACTTCAATATTTCCTCTGTGTCCTACTATGAAGAAAACCTTATGCACAAATAGCATTTAAGGTCCTACAAGCATATTCTTCATGCTTTCTTAATGGTACTTCGGGTCTACTACAACCATAATTCCACTGGGGACATTTAAGAGTCAGAGTTCCAGCAATAAAAGCATGTTAAGTGAGTTTTAATGGTTCTTGTGTCTTGAGGTTGGTTAGCTGTGGGGAGGACACACATGCATTCGTGACATGAATTACAATCAGATGAATTTGCAAACAACAGCTAGCATTGAAGTTTAAGCTGAAATAGCATGGCAATAACTGAACTGTCTAGATATCTAGGAATTATTATTATAAGTTTGTGTTTCTGGTTTCCTTCCATCTGGTGGTGAGACAATTTGACCTTCCTGTCAATTTATTTTGATTTACACTATTTCCCTCCTCATTCCTGTGACTCTACTGTATTCAAATAACTATGGGCACACAAACAAACAAATTCTCCATACAGTGAAGTAAAGGTGCATGCTATTGCTGCCAAATGTTTCAATGGGAGCAAGTCATATCAGATTCTTAAACTAAGAATGTCCTCAATAGAATCAATTTAACTATAAGATTGTATGGTCTAAACGGGAATGTTCACTTTGCAATGCAACAGCTTGGAACTGACAGTACCAATCAGCAAGTGTCCGTTGTGATACACAGCTGCACTTGAACCACTCAACTCCTCTCCGTCATTTGCATAAATGCTGGTGACAACAGGGTTGCTCGACTCTGGGTGTTTCACTTGGAGCACTTGTGACGCAGGCAACTTGGACCCTTTTTTTGACCCTACTATGGCTTGCCAGAAGCTTGGGATGGCACCAATCCACAAGCTACCTGATGTCGGATCCACGTTAACATTGTCAACCCCTGAATACACCGTAATGTCATTCTTGAACTTTAGAGAGTTGTCCCGCTGTCGCTGGTACACCTTGATTCCCTGCTCCAAAGGACTGACCACGTAGATCAGCTGACCGTCTGGGGACATGTTGATGCCGTTGGCAAATTTTATACCATCAGCGACCGTCCTGGCTTCTCCGTTTTCATAGTACGTAACAGAGCTGACGGGAAGAAATGCCAATATTGACAAAAGACCAGTACACGATTGGAGAAAAAGGACATGTTGGTAAAGTAAAAGCTATCCAGACCAGTGGCTACAATATCATTGGGCGATGTAATAACAGGGTGCCTAATGGTCTTGACGTGGTGTGCTATGTTTGTCGAAGAGTCATAGCGGAACGTTTCAACCTCGAAACTCTTAAAATTCACAACAAAGAGTCGAACCTCTTTGCTGGCTGGATCTTCAAAGACGCTCATTCCAATTGGTGCGAACTTGTCCCCGAAACTTTCCGGTTTGATGGAAACTTGGGAAATTTGAGGCTCCGGGCTGTTGAGGTCTATGGCGAAGATTTTGCCGTGTTTCTCGTAAGGACCGGATGATATGAAGACAAGACCTGAGGAAGTTAGTGCGAGATCTTCGCTACCAGTGGTGATCCCTGCTACATGTTGACAGGGTCCTGGAGAGTGGTTGTAGGTGTGATGGAAGGGGTTCAGTGCCAGGAGAAACCTGCAAATGTGCTGCCCAACCACAGCGAGGAGGACAACAGCAACGGCGGCTACCAGCTTTGCCATGTTGAGTCTGCATTCTTGGCTAAGTTCTGTAAAAGATTAGCAAAATTGGATCAACTGTTGCTCCATGGCCGGGCATTCATTCTAATACTGTTTCATCATTGACCTTTACTTTAGTTCTACTGCCCATTGACTATCAGTATGAAATTTTCATATTTATAGGATAGAAAACGTAGACTGGTAATACCAACACATTGTGAATTGCACTAATGATGTTAATACCTTAGTCAAGTCCTTGATGATGGCACCCAAGAGTTTTGTTTCAACTTTTCAGAAATTTTCTTCGAAACATAGTTTCTGCAATAGAGGATACAAATGATCTAACCCTGGCTAAAATGTATAACTTTTGCAATACCAGCAGAGGTGACATAGTTATGCAACAAGTCATATTGTTCGCTAGGACATTGACCTTTTCACTTTTCATTTGATCATGCGACTCTCTGGCATTATCATTATCCTTGCCCTCTACAAAGCAACCACATGTGCATTTCAGAATGACTAAATAGCGTCGTGCTATATCATTAACGTTACAGTTACAGTTCTTATTTTTTTCTTTTTGAACGTGACTGCTAGCTCGGGGCACACGCCCCCTTGGCTGCAGAAACGTTTAATACCTGGTCTCTGCGTTTCAAACACCAGAGAATTTAGATCGATCTGGCAAATGACATACTAAGAAAAATATATTCGTTGCTACTTAGCTACGTACAAGGAAGTTAGAAAACTGGCATGCAATCCTAGGGAGAAAGTTTGGAGCACATGTGCAAACAAACCCCGCAGTTCCGCCTCCAGCCTGCCAATGTTTACATTCTGCAGGGGAGTCACGTGACTTCGGCTGACCTTTCATCTTACCGCGTCACTGCTTGCACATCTATCCCAGCATTCCCCACTGATTTGAATATGCTCGTTGCGACGTGTTGTAGCCATATAGGCGTGAATATTTCCACAAAATACGTTCCATGTATCATTATATATGATTTGAAGATTATATTTTTCAAGATATATGCCCAGTTTTTCAGGAAAGTGGGCATATTTTGACCGCAGTGCATCACGGGTGTTTGTGCCGTAGGGTATCTGGTAGGGCCAATCAGCGCGGGAAAAATTAGACACATCTGTCAATCAAATGGGACATATGGGGGTTTCTAGATGCCCTTAAAGGGACAATAGAGGAGTCTCTTATCACTTTTTCTGTTCTTATGACGTTTTTAGGCATCATATTTGTATAATATTTGACATTTGTCACTTCTCTGTTGTTTCATAATCGGCCTGTCACACAAAATTGTTTCCGAAACCCGTGACTTAACAGTGGAATGTGCGGGGCCGCCTTGAAACGGGGGCGGGATTTTATTTATATTTTCATTTCAGCCTCCATGTTGCCCGAGCTGCGACCATTTTGAAAAATCTCTGTTTTTCTGGTCGCTATTTGTGGGCAACACGGCGAAGATCGGGACAAAACGTCGCGGGACAAGTATCCAGATGGACAGTACGTCCATCATCACACAGGTTAGCCGGGATGAGGAGAATTTAAACCCGTTCCCGACCCCGGAAAAAGGTAAACGTCCTCTCCAAACTTTGTGACGGTCTCTTTAGCTTTTACGTCCCTCCCCCCTGAGGGGGTTTCAAACGCAATACTTTTACCCAACTCGACTATGATTACGTGCTTAAACTTACCTCAAAACATTATCTAGTCAATGCCAGGGATTATTTCTGACCTAACTTGAAATGTTTGGCTGTGTTTTTGAGGGGAAATTGTTGTGTTGTAGACTCGCCGGTAGTCTGCACATCACGTAGTTCGTGCCATATATGCGTGCACCCCTCCCCCTCCCAACCTTGTTTATCCCTTTCATAAAACGACAAGACAGTTGGCTAAATTTCATCGACGTACATTCACATATCCGAGCAATTCTCTAGTCGTCAGAACAGACACAATAGTTTACTTTTAGCGTACGATCGGGATTGTAGTCCTGATTATAAAATGGAAGAGGAACCGGTAGGGTTGGTTGTGAGGTCAGCTTCTTGCTGTAAAAAAAAAGAAAAACAACTCTATACTCATTAAACATATGAATCTGAGTACTTCAGGAAGTAGTTTTAGCATTTTCTATGATTGATAAGTCTCTATATACGATAATCCAAGTCATTACTAGTTAGTACACTATAATTAGGAATTGTTTGTGAAAATTGTTGCCCTCCATGCTGCAGCTGCATGGGGGTATGTTTACTACCGGCCCCTTTGGTCTTTATTTGCTCTGCCAACTGACCACAAATATTTCTAATTTTCCACTGAAGTTAGAGCATATGTTGACTGGATGCTAGGAAGATATAGCACCGGGCTCCTAGTGGGTCAATTATTTGCCTAGTTACCTTTTGACCCCCTATAGATAACATACTAAAAGTGTCGTCAAAAATGATTTAGCAAATTCATTGTTATACATATCCCACCATTACCCATTGAGGCCCTGAATTGAATTTTTGCTTCTCGTTAGATCATTTTTATTTTTGCATGGCAGTTCTTTAAAAAGCAAGATATAGCAATAGTTCAGAGGTTTAGGATACCAGCATTTGTGTTTTGTTGTAAACGTATGTAGTTGTAGTGTTTATTTGGTTACGCTTCTCTAAGTTTTCCTTGTTGTCTAGTGCCCATTGTCTTCTTTTATTTCTGCCCAAATCAGCCCTGCTTTGCAAGGGTTCAGCGCTAGACTCAAAACATACATGTTTTTGTGTGTCTTTGTAAACAAAGCTGACAGTTTGCCCTCCAAACTTCCTGTATCTCACAGTGATTATTCTGTGGGAAACCACACACAAGTTCAAAGCCACAGGGAAACTGCTAAAACCTGGCCAATAATATGCCGCAGTTCCGTAGATGTGCGTAATTAGAGTGATAATGCCCGTACAAGGTGGTTAACACCCTGGGGTTTCAATTGATATTGAAAGCAGCCACTAAAACAGATGGGTGGGAGGTGAATTATGCTCATTGGCAACAAATCTTGTAACTAGCTGTCTGTCCTATGAGTGGTTTGGTTTTTACTGTAAAACGTGAAACATTTGCAGTGGTTTTATTTTCACTGTGACATCTCCGTCGTGAATTCTTGACATTGCAAATGTTTCTTCCTTGTATGACTACTGCACTACTGCAAATTCAGAAAACAATGAAAACTTCCCTTTCCCTCATACTGTAATTGTAAAGCAAAATCACAGCAAAAGGTTCATGATCTACAAATCCATAGGGAATTTGTCTGTAGTTACAAATGAGAGCTAAGACAATGTAAGGGTCTGTATGCCTTTTTCTGTTAGGTGTAGCAAGTTATTTTAATTCTCTGTTAATTGTAGTAGGTAGGCTCTAATTCAACGTTAAACGTTGTTGGCAAATTATTCATAATTGGTCACTTAAATTCTACCTAGCTTTTCTTATCCTCAATTAAGTTAACCTTTACTGACAAATTCTTCATATTGCATTGTCAATATCAGATTAACTGAAAATCCTAACGGAGCATCCATTTGTGTTAGCAGGCTAGTTTTGCCAGACACCCTATGAATACAATAGAAGAATCCAGTAAACTTGTTCCCAAAACCTTTTGCAGGAACACATCAATTTTCCATTTACCATTGCTGGGCCTCCTGATACCAGGATCCCCCCATGCGGACCCTCCTATGTGTATTGCAAGCCTTGCTGTAGAAGTGATCCATCTAATATCCATGTGATGATCACTCAGGGAATACAGTATGATTATAATCCTTTACATGTCTAGCATGCTAATTGTAAGTAGCTTCATATTAGGATGATCTTACCTTCTTAAGACCTTTAAGATCCGATAGTGGCCTTGCATGCAGAACATATCACACCCTTGGGAATACTTGATCTATTGCACAGTGCCACTGCCCAGATTTACCTATTATAGTCAGATAGGTGATGCGATCGTTCATCTAAGGTGTATCATACATTGGAACACCGACCCTTGATGAAGGTTAGATATCCAGGTAATGAGATACACAAGAAAACTGGTAATCAAGCAACTGGATAGAATTTGAAAACTGTCAGACATTTCAAATAGTTTTTGTCAGTGAGTCAGTGACTAACGGAATGCAGTTGAAAAACATAAGTTTTTCCTAGCTTTCTAGTCCTTAAAAAAGATTATTTCTTTATTTGCGAATCCTGTCTTTGCTTTTTGTTATTATAGGTAAAGACATGTATGTTTTGAATATTGAAGTTAGCTGATGAAATTTTTAAAGAAATACCATAAGACCTCAGTGTCCATAATTGGTTGTAATTCTATATTTGCTAAATTGTTGATTTGCCCCTATAGTATTCCAACGGGCCTGTAACGTAAGATATTTAACCTTCTCCCTGCTGCCTAACATGCCAAAAGGCCACCTTAGTCACAAGAATGTTAATACTAGACGTACATGTATAAGAATGCTTTGAATATGAAAAAGGCTAACATTTAGAAGGCAGACAATCGCATTGAAATGACGTAAAAGGCCATTTGGTGGCCTTTTGGGAAAGAACTGACCTTCAGCCTGCTAATTTAAAAATAAGGTAGCATTTTTTAGTACCAAGTTTCATTTTGGTTATAGGGTTATGCAGCATGAATATAGGAATGCTTTTAATCTAAAGATTAAGGATAACATTTAGAATGCAGACAATCACATGATGGAAATGACATAAAAGGTCATTTGGCGACCTTTTGTGGGAGAATTAGCCTTCAGCCTGCTAAGGTAGCTCTTTGGCACCAAATTTGTAATGGTTATGGGGTTACATAACATGGAAAATGTTTAACATGTACATAGGACAGAAGCTATATATATCAGTACCTTAAAGTTAAACAAATCTGTGTAGCTCTAGGCATAGTGTTACATTGACTGAGCTTGAATCTTCCCCAGAGTACTATAGTACATGGCAAGCTTTCCTTGACAAATAAGCTTGTTAGTACCAGTACCAAGCCATCTGGTAGTGACGTTATTTATTCCGAAGTTGAAGAACTTGAAAGGTGATACTTCAAGGAAAATCCCTCGAGCAAGATGTGTACTTCCTTAGGATTGATCTTTGTGAACATGTCAAGTTGCAGTTTGTAAGTGTTTTTAACAAGACACCATTTAAGTTATTCCATTTTAGTTTGTTTTTTTTCTGTTTGGAAGTTGACTTTATTGTTGCAGGATCATAAAAATACAGTTATATAAGGAAACGTAGTCGAATTGTGTGGGTTTCACAGTATAGATGAGCCAGATGGTATAGAGTGTTAATAACCTAGACATGGTGACCCAAGGGTAGGGAAAGGGCACCATTCACGCAAAATAACAGCCCCAGGCAGCCAGCGCTGATGTCATAGTCCGGATAGCAACCTTCTGGCACAAGTACAAGCTGATACAGCACTACATGTATTTATGTAGCATATACGTCTGAAAATATACATGTACGTATACACTACATACTAGAAGATATGCAATAGGATGTAAAATAGTTTTGTATGTTTGATAGCTGAAGAGGTTATGCTTATCTCAAACAGTAATACTTTGAAATAGAAAATGCATATACTGGTAGTATTTTTTGCTGGAATTTTGCCATTTTCTATAACCAGTGTTTTTTTTAAATCTCTATTTATGTATCTGAAAATATACCTTCTCAATCCACCGTGTAAGAGAAAACTGTGTGCGTCAGGCTTGGCCCATGTGGAAGTCATTTTGTACTTTTGACCTTGAGACTTGATATGTAGGGTGCGTAGAGCTTTTGGTGATCGTATCTTCTGTCTGCATCACATTTCTGATATAAAACAAGCAACCGTTTTCCATCAGCGACTCGGACATCACATTTTTGCATCACAGCTACCACTATGCTATGGGATAGGGTTGATTCAACTTACTACATTAAATAACCAGAAAATTAACTTTGAAAATCCAATGTTACTGCCCTGAAATCACTTTGGGTGAAAATATGTTATATTTACATAAATGGTAAGTCCATGAAAGTAGTGTGTCTAAAGGGTTATTGTAAATGTTCCACTCAAAATGCTTTATAGGTTACACAAATAGCATACAGTGTCCATTACATACCACTTGTTGACATGAAAGCATAGTTAAGTACCTCTTTTGCTATTTTTGCATTCTGATAAAGATGTTTATAAACAAAAAGGAAATGTACACAATGAACTAAATATTTCTGCATTGTTGTCATTCCTTTAGACTGTCTTTGATTTGGTATCCTATTATGTTATGAATGCTCATATTGCCTCTTTCTACTAATTATAGCAAGGTAGAAATTCAGTTGTAAGCTTAGGTTTTTCTAGTAGTTTTTGTTTAGTTTGAAATTGTATATTATGTCTTTACAAACCCAACTTTTGTTAATTTGAACATGATAGCATTGCCAGCTTTGGTAGTAAAAGTCGTGTTATGTAATATAAATGTTCATATTACCCTTTTATAGCTTGATTGGATTTCTGTAGTGAGTTTATGTTTTGAACAGCAGTTTTTGTGTGCTTTGAAAGTGAATGTTATGTCCTTACATGTACATGTACCTAACTCACATCTTATGAATACACTAGCATTGTTGGCTTTGGCTGT